TTCACGGCGATACACGGACGATAAAAGCGGATTCTTTTTCGTCTGATATATGAAGCAATAGTTAACGATGAAGTTAAAGGTGGGTAGAAATTGATTGTAAAGAAAGTTTGGATAAGTCATGTTAGCTTGTTTTGAAGGAATTTAGTATTTTTTAGGAGAAAATCTTGTTGGAAAAATACTGTGCCGTACAGCGGTATATTGACAATCCTGCGAGAGCGGTCAATTTTAATTTGTTAAGGATCTTTAACTGTTAGATCAATACGAATAATTCTTGCATTTTCTTATGGATTAAGGATTTTTTAAATGAAATATGATGTTTGTTTAACTTCGTTTTTTGTTTTGATGTGAGTTTTTTCGAGTTTTTTGAAGCGTATTTTCTAGTCTGAACAGAGTTTAATACAGTATTTTCGGACATGTTTTTTTTTCGGACAATTATAAGGTATTATCTGTTCATGGCCATAATTTATTTTCCTCGTCATTTTTTGAACGTGGAGCTCTTAAAATTATTAAAATGCTTAATTATTAACAACAATTTATGTTTAAGAAATTTAAAAAACGTTGATGTTTTTGTTTTTTTTGGCAATCAAAAAAAAATGAGTTCTTCTTCTGGGTGCCCTACTTGGGTGTGTTGGAGGTTGTGTCTTGTGAACGTTACCTTTACCTTGTTGATCTTTATGCTTGTATATTTATACAATACATACCAAACACAGGAAGTGTCATTATGACAGGAAATAATGTCTAATACTATTGACTTTGAAATATGTTATATCCTGTGTACATTCATGGAGTTAATATTGTAGTATTTTTTATATTTACTGTTTACATTGTTCACGTGTGCTTAGAATTTTCTTCTATTTATAATAATATGTATTTTGCATTTCAATATTTACAGATGCCACGAAAAAAAGGATGGTTCCGTGCCAAGAGAAAGGCAGGACAGCAGAGAGCTGTGCAAGCCATTGGCAATTATGACCATGAGTACTGTTCATTACCAAAGAGAACCACTTGTTTAAAATAAATAATGTATAAGTCTGTGATAGAGGCAAACAGAAACATTTTGTTGATGTAAACAGTAGTTTTTTGTCATACATTTTACACTTATACAAACACATATTTGTTAAGTGATCATATAAAGTTCAAACAAATGAATATGTTTTTTATCACAAAAAATAAAGACATTTTTGGTATCCGCAACACAGACTTTCTAGTTAATAATCTTAGTTTGATGTTGTATTTCTTATCACTGAGATTAAATATTGAATATGGTTGTAATTAGTCTTTCCTTCATCCACAAACATGGGGGAAATGCAAGTCTGTATCTGGCTATTATTATTTATAAGCATATCATTATATTTCTTATCACAAATTAATATTGTGTTATCATATAAAAAAAAAAGTAAGAGGGACTGAACAAACTACATCATGAATGAGGTTGTAACTATTCTTTGATGTTCGTTGATGAATTGATAAAAAATAAAGGTAAAATTAAAATTGATCTCTTACACTGTGACCACGAAATCCAGATATCGTTTTCAAAGTTTTACTACAATGTGGGCACACATAACCTATCACTGACATAGCTTATTTAATTTCACTTTTCTCTGATTTTTCGGATTCAAACTCTGAATCACTGTCATCTAAATAATAATCAGTATATTCCCCATCAAACAGCTCTGACAAATTTAAATCATCCCAAGATAGAAAATCTGAATTTGATTTTTTGGTTTTTAAAGAAGCCATAGTTACATGAACATTAACACATTTGAATTTGAAAATGAGCCTACAGAAAAGTTTTAGACGATTTATTGAAGGCATTATTACTCAAAAAAGGTGGGAATATGTTAATTGCTATGTTCTACTGCTAACTGGTAAACATCTTTATAATTAATGACGCACGTGTAACATTAAATAAATGCTGCATTCATTTCTACATATATATACATGTAGGTAATTAGAGCTTATTTAAGCATTATCAAATCGGCTTGATCTAAGAGTGTGCCCTTCATTGTGAAAAACATCGCAATTAAAAAAAAATAATACAATCAAATCAAACAGTAATATAGCGCAATTATCGCCTCAAAGAATAAACAATTGGTTATAACCCTGAGATTAAAAAAAACTTGAAATATGGACTTGATTTTAAAGGGGAATTACAAAACAACAAAAAATATTTATCATAATTAACATTTTATTCTTTAATTGTTGATTTTTTATCGTAATTTACAATACAACGGCAATGTAAACATTGATTAACGGATATCGCCGAAGTTTAACGAGAGCGCGAAAATCGGAGACTAGCGGGAAAATCCGATAATTACCGAAGCGCGCAAAGGATTGTGGGTATAGATCGGACAGTTGTTTATTTTTCGGAGTTTCTAATCCGGTGTATGTATATCTGTGGCAAATTCAATCCAAATTTTAGGCGCTTTAACAGAAATGCAATCCGTCTGAAATTCTGACATTATTTAATAGGTTTAAAAGTTGATGTGTTTCGTTTTTCTATCGTTCTTTTTTCTAAAATATGAACAAAGTTTACATTTACCACGGCACTTTAATTTGCTATGGGTAATTTACTATAGAAAATGATTATCGTCAGTTACATTTTCACCGATGATTCAGTTAAAACATGATGGTTGGTTTGATATATAATTATTCTTATGTTTTTCTTCATTTGATTGGTCGCAAATGAAAGTAAACGATTCGATTAAACTTTTGAATCATTTTTATAACAGGAACGTGCCTCTTTATTATATAGTCCATCTGATCGTTTTTGGCAGCGGGACAGACACTGGCTGTCCGCAGCTTTCATCTATATTTTTATCATAAAAAGCAGTCATGTTTAATAATCGTTTGTAAAATGTTATAAAATCAATCAACAAGACATTTTAGTTCGAAATATTGGTGCGAATTACATTATGTCCGAGTGATTAACGGGACAAACTGTTATATTTTACGAATAGTAAATATATGTTCGTAATGTCTAAATATTGTTACAAAAACAAAGATTATTCTAATCAGTTCTTGATATTCACTTATTTATAAGAAAATATTTTTAAACACAATAGTGCATATTTGTTTACGATTCACTAATCAGCAATAGAGGTAACAAACCAATTCATGTAATAATGGAATTTAGGCAAGTTGGTACAATAGTCACAAAACGATAATCACAGTATCATCATGAGTAATTGAAAAAGATTGTTGGATTCCTTGTTAAGAGATTAAACAGATTCACATTAATAAAGTGTTTATAAATTGTATTTATTTTAAAGGCGGCTTAATATCCGACATTATGCAATTGGAATGTATTAGTTTTATTCGCCTTTATCAGCTCATATTCTATATCATTAAGACTGTGGAAGGACTTTATGTCCAATTCGACTTGGACATAAGTAACAGTTTTTTCCGTGTCGAAAATCCATTCTTATTATCGTTACAAGGGCTGTCTCAGCAGTCGCTTTCTTTGTCGCCTTGAAACAACGCCCTTACGAAAAGTTGTCTTTTGTAATGGTCATTCACAAATAGTTCAAAAAAGAAATTCATTGATATATGATATAAAAATTGCCTTAATAGTACTTTACGTGAGACACGTGTGGTTTTTATTATAAATGTGAAGAAGAATATTAGAAACAATGATTAACAATTATAAAGTTATTTTAAGTTTTTATCGTACACTCACCATTACGCTATAAATGGTATGCATACCCACTTGTAGTTTACAGACGATTTGGTACGTGTGTTATTTATTTTCCATAATCAAAATACTTTATTCGAAGATGCCTATTCATTCTGCCATAAAGGATCATTTTTAGGGAAAAACAGACCAGCTTTATGCCAAACAATGATACTTTTTTTATACTACATTACTATTCATAGCAATAGAGAGTTCTGTGCTCTTGGTAGATTAACTGGTACATGCGCATAAGAAGCAATAAAATGAGTATATTGCAGTACAATGTATTTATATAACAAAAACAACGATCCCTCAGCAGCTAACTGAATACACTACCGTAACTGATCACGTACGAATGATAATAGCAGACGAACACTCGACCAGGAGATAATGTAAAATAATAATACTTGTAACAATTATGGGTTATATCTAATCGGACGATAAAGAATTGTTATGCCCCTATTTAAGTAGAATATGATGACGAAATGGAACGTGTACAGTAATGATAACGATGTTGATGTATTTGATGTAAATTGAGATAATGATGTTGTTATGATGATTGTGGGAAATTGGGGATGTTGATGATTATTATAATAAATTTGATGATGTTAACGATTATTGCAATAGTGTTGATGACGATTATGATTTCAACGAATATAGAAAAAACTGATATTCCTCTTTAGATAAAAAGTATAACAACTTTCTGCACAAGTTATTAACTATTACTCCAACGTGAATTCTGAATCATCAGTTAGAGACAAGTGATGATGATGATGATGGTAATGATGAAGATGATGACGATCACATATGCAATGATGATGATCCTAATAATATTGATGATGACAATCTATGTATGATATATTGCCGTTACAAAGTTTTGCAAAAGACTGGCATAGACAATCGAAATTTAAAAACAAATTACTTATAAGCATGTTAAAAATCATTACGATTCCTGTCATTTTTTTTAAAAAAGATTGCCATGGCAAATTAACAAAACAATAGTTGTCACGGTTAAATGATAAGGTACTTCTCATGGTAAGATAACAATTTGGTATGGTCAAATTTCAATTTGCCATGGCAAAAAACATCTTTGCATTTCTACAAAAACAATAGAAGTAAATTATGGGAATGATAGAAAGACGATTCAGATTAACATATAAATATCTTAATCAATCTATAGAAAATATAAAGTTTCTTTTTTAAAGCGCAAAATTTTAGATTGAATTTCCCAAAATCTGGCATGGCACAGTAGTTATGATATATAAATATGTATATCACGCTGTGCTTTATTTATCCCAGGTACACCGCAATGTTCATTCTATGCAATATGACGGGGAGAGATGCTCCGGATGCAGTTTCGTTCTATTACGAGAAATCATTACTACATCTTCCTCATGAAGTTACAGTTGTTAAAATTACTCAACATTTTCCTAAGTTCAGGTTTAGTATGTGTGTTTCACCGTTACATTCAATGTTCAATGATACGACACAACTTATAGAATGGATTGAACTTAATTGGCTTCTCGGAGTAGAAAGATTTATGTTTTATATAAACAGTATTTCGCAAAATGTATCAAGTGTTCTAGAATATTACAAGCACAAAGAAATTGTACAATTAATAAATTGGAAAATTCCAAAATATTTAGAGGATGATGTGCATTATTATGGACAGCTTGCTGCACTAAATGACTGCCTTTATAGAAACAAGGGCAAAAGTATCTATCTATCATCCACCGACTTAGATGAGTTTATCATTCCACAAAAACCGGAGCACTTCACGTGGTCCGATATGATGGATGATCTTCCGCTATATAGCGTGTACCTAGTTCGAAGCTCGTTTTTTAGCTGCTCTAAACAACAATTATGTAAACATGGAATGACAATTGATTCCCACAACGTACGAGACAATATAATTCTACGACGTCATGTGAGATCCAAGTATATAGGCAAAACTAGCGAAGTAATTGTCATGGGTGTCCATTATGCATGGGAGATTCAAAATGGTGGTGAATACACTTTTAAGCCAGAAGTAGCGTTATTGCATCACTACAGAAGGTTAAGTACATTCTACACTTTACAGGAACCGAATAAGGTACTTCATTCTTGTGCAAGGAAATACAGTGCGTATCTCAAAAGAAATATATTCAAAGTTATTTTAGAAATATTTAATGAAAGAACTAGTCAATTGTGACTCTGACTGTCATATTTTAACAATTCCTTTTAAGATATCTAAAATTAAAACAGTGTAGAAATCTTATACGTTTTCTAGAAGAAATATTGTTCAAAAATTCTCATTGAATATTTTGTGTTTTATTTTCTATTTTATTTCATCATGTAATTGTTTTGTTCTTTTCATATTTCTATCCCATTATTTACAGTTTTGTTATCTTCATTTTTTGAATGTTCACGCCGCTTCAAAGACAAACATTCATTTTAATTCAAAATGGTTCGTTTAAGCTCAGATCGAGCGATATGAAGTATAATGATACTTTGTGAAATGTTTTACCTAATTGGATCAAGATTAGAAGACATGCTTAGTCATTTCCAAAATAAAACTAAAAAAATGAATATAAAAACCCTCTATGTGATTATTTATTATTTCTTTCAACATAACACTCAAATAAGAACAGAGGGTAAGTATTGTATATAATGACTACTAACCCATACAGTCATTTAACAGCGGTTTTAGCCCAAGCGTTATTACGTTTGATTTTGGTCTTTGATAATTCGTATCGAAACACCGAATAAAGATGCCTATTCAAGTTTTTTTCTCGGTTGAACTATCACTAGTTTACCCTAATAAAGAAAAGGCACACTGCGGAAAATAAATAAAACACGAATAACGCGAACACTTTAACATCACAATGTTATGTTATTTGTTGTATGTCTGTTATAACAGTTTGATGGTTTAGACCAGTTTTGAGCAGGAGAGTAGCTTTTATAGTCAATTCAATCCTTCAGAATTTTTCACAATTTCTTCAATTACAATAGCTTGTAAAGTGATCATTATTTTCAGCTATTCAAGAAAGATTGTGTTTATTAAATAAATTGTCACCTTGCTGGATGTAATTAAACTAGATCAACATTTTTTGTTAATGTTTCTTTAATTTGAATAAAACCTGAAATTTAAAACAGACATAACAAGAGGGAGTACGGATCAAGGCTAAAATTGCTAACTGCACATCTGTTATTTGAATGATCAAGTGAAAAATATTTATAACTAACACATATGACAAAACTAAAAGTGTGCCCATGTGACACAGATGGCCCAACTTATCCAATGCTTCTAGATACAATTATATGCCTCCCCCGAAACTACATTTCTCAAGTGCTGAACATTTATCTCTTTCCTATTTAATTAAAAATGACAAATACAATGATAAATAAATACATTTACGCAGTCAAACACTAACTTCAACTTGCATCTTGATTGGCTAGAGGCATTTAAATTCAGTAGTTCAGTGAAAGTGCATTTATCTCCATTTGCATTCACAAATTCATTTTTAATTTTTCAATTTAATGCTATATTTTGATTTGCTAAATCCGGTAACATTTGCTACAAGTAAGTTACACTAAAAGACTTTATGTGATCAAATGTTGATTCTGTCTTTTTAATATGTGCATCATGCATCCATCTAGTGAGTCTTCCTTTTCCTGTTGTTCCTGTGCATGTCTTTAATTTTAAGTCTACACTTTAAGTATTGTTTCTCTGTCATGTTCAATCTCGCATTTACATATATACACCTGTATATATGATTTTTCATCGCAAACGAACCATTTGTTATGACTTATGCTTCTGAGCAATTTAATCGTAAAATTCGGGGAAAATGATATTTGAAATCGTTGTTCTTTTACAAATATTGAAAAGAATAATATCTTATTTAAGAATATGACAATGTCAAAGAATTTATTGACACTACCTCAAAACATCATATACATATCAATATATTTACAAACAATGATATAATGATACAAGTAGCATTATGTTTACACAAAACTCTTGTTACTATCTAGTGGTGTACATTATCATATTTATTTTCTTACACTTTATTATCTTTTTCGTTCTTCAGAGGCATGGAACACAAACTTTGCCAAATTATCTATAATATTTTCAGCCTGACACCTCATTAAGATATTAAATTTATGAATATTTTGACAAAACCTTTGCTTAGTAAGTATTTTGATCTTAAGCGTCCATAAGCCGTACATATCATTACGAAATGGTATTCTGTTTCTAATGAAACTTTACATAAATTACATATACGCTCAGATCTCTCTTCTTGCCATTGTCATACTTAAGAATAAAGGAATAGCCTACTATAAGAAATTACATAATTATTATACGGTATAATTCATCTGACCTTGTTTGATATTCGAACAATGTTTTCAAGTTTTATTAATTCCATTATCAGATTACAAAACTTGAGCAGCTTACTCAGACATAATTGAAATGTAATCTGGTCTGACTTAATACCATTGTCAATGGTAAATCAATTTTTGATCAAACAAATATGTCGTGGTTAAGTGACCGACTCTCTACAAGCAAGTAAAAGACATTTTTTGACCTTGACAAATTTATTTGTATTATGTCCATAAACACGAAAATGCATGTAGCTCAATAATGATTTAAATAATCGGCGATTATTTGTTTTTTTTGACACTCTATAAATGTCCCCCATCACAAAAATATCTACATAACACTTCTATGACGAAAAGTAAAATTGGATGTTCACCTTCCTTACAAAAATATTGTTGAATATATATAAATCATATGATAAAAAAGAATTAACAAAGTTGTTATGTTTACTCTTTTTTAGTATTATTATTTACTAAATCACTCTGAATTATTTTAAAAATGAAAGTGTTAAGAAAAGAATTATTACAATGCACCCAGGGCACTTACAATTTGCAAAAAATACAGACATTCCTGTCATGTTATGTGTTAAAATATAAAATAAAACCTGCAGTTATCTATTCAGTTTCAATGCAGAAATATCGCGATAAAAAGTAGAATAAATTATATTTGGCAACTATTCTGATAACTAATATTTATTAAAACATTTCTATTTCTTTGAAGGTTTGATTTGATTTAGGAACAATTCTTTAGTGATAATTGTTTTAACGATGGTGACACCAAGATGAAAATTCATAATCAAATGCAAGCCAAAGTTAGTGCATCTTCCAAGATAACATTGGTATTTTACTATTGACATGTATTGTTTGATATTCCTTACATAATTTATATTGTTTGCTTTTCTCACCTTTTACATGATTTATTTCGTGTGTAAATGAATACGTTATCGTGTTAGTTTATCTCCTATAACATTCGTTATTAAAATAACAATGCTTCGCTGTTAAAAGAGTTCAACATGAACCTGTACAATTACAGTAATGATTTATACCTCGTGATCTTGAATTGTGTATATGAATATCATGCTTACAGATGTCATTAATGATTGTTTAAAAGAAGAATACTATACAAAATTCAAAAGAAAATAATAATAATGAATAAATAAATAAAATTAAATAGAAAAAATAAACAAAAACAAAACAGACAGAAATCAAAAATTGTTCTTTCTTGACTTATGGACTTATGAACAGACCCTAATCAGGCCCAGTCAAACCTTGCCTGTAACATTTTCAATTCATTCGTTTTGAACGGTCTTTATTTCTTTCTATTTTACACTGAATTTAAATGTATTTGCATTTCATCATGGTCATTTTGGTCTCAATATTTCTCTGATATTTTATGATTTTTGTTTGCCATCGCTTATGGATTGCTGTATATCCCTCATATAGAGTTCGAATTTTTGACAAGCAATTAACAAAGTTCAAGACCTATCACGTGTTAAAAAAAACATATTCAATTAACAAGTCTAGTTAATTGTGCCAATTTGATGAGTACAAACCAAGGAATTTTTAAAAAAAACTTTGTCCTCATATAATTAATAATAACATCATTTTTTTTTCAAATTATCGCAGTGGTGTTGTAAAATGTATAAAGCACCCCAAAACGGCAAAAAGCAAGTGTTTCAGGCCAGGCTCAGTTTGATTTAGGCTATTCATGGACGGCAATGGTTTATTTTTAACCCGCCCAACCTGCGGAACTAAACAATAATGAAGGGTTTTGAGTATGAAAATGATTTGGAAACATCCGCAGATGTGTACATCATAACAAGGACCTTTAAATATGCCATCGAACCCTTCAATGAAGAGAAGAGAAGTGAGCCTTGTACGAAGGATGAAGCTTATTTAAAATGAAATAATTCAAGAGAACCGTAGATAATAAATAATCCTTGAATCAATTTCATAGTTACGACTTAAATTTAGTCATACGAATACCTCCTGCCGTCTTGTGAGCTTAACTTTTTCTCTTGTAACCACACTATCAAGGACAAAATGTATATAACATACCGTCAAATGTCACTGTTATGAACTGGCGAGCGTTTCACTAACATAACGTAAGTTTTGCGTATCTATTTACGTAAATTTGGACTTAAGCAAAACGTAAATTTACGTGAGTTGCGTTTCACTAAACAGAACGTAGCGTAATTTTACGACTCTGAAAATTTACGGTAACCGACTTTTCAATAGGAGGTAAAAAAGCGCTCCCGGATGTTGACAGTCGTCTGTCAAAAAGTCAAAATGGAGAAAAACGCGGAGAAAAAACGGAAGGAGAATTGGTCAAAGGGGGAGGTGGAGGCGTTATTGACAGGTTATATTGATAACCACACGGAAATAGAAAGCATATTTTCTGTTAAAGTGACTGCCAATGTGAAGGAAGCTTGTTGGCAGGATATTTTGGAGAGGTAAATTATGTCATGTAGGTTCGTCGAAAGTAAAGTAAGCAGATGCTAGATCTATATTTGGCCTCGTCCTATATTTTTTTTAAATATGACGTCGCTTGATATTTGTGCTTCTTGGCAAAGCAACAGGCTTGATCGACATAAACTATAACAAGTCTGTAACGTCTGGTATATTGAACTATATTTGGCCCATTTTTAATTAAAGAATACGGAAAAAAATCTAGGATGAAATAATTAAAAATAAAATCGTATGAGTGTCAAACATCTATATATTTTTTAATTATGTGCTTTGTACAGGCAGCGTCTTTAAAATAGAAAGACTCTGGTACCGGGAATGACTTACTAATAATCTATAAAACGTTACATATATATGTCCATAACTACTGATAAACTATATTAATTTTATTTTCTACACAATTTCAAACAGTTGATAAAGGGTAAACTCGGCCCTATACCAACTCGGCACGGGTCAACTCGGCCCTGTGGCCCCCTCATTTAAAAACTTATATTAGGATAAAGATTGTTTAGATTGTTTAGTTAATATAACATTTAAAGAGTAAATTATTATAAAAGTATTCAAAAGTACGATCAATTACAAACAGAATTGAAAAGGGTGACAGTGCATATGTAAGTATTGTTGTTAAGAAGATACAATATACATGTATGTTAAATATTGATCCATAAAGTGTTTGGATTGAATATTTATGACAACAAATGTTATTGTATTTGACACGTTTTGAGTGTATGTTCTTTTATATGACTAATGCTGTTTTAACGATATTTTTTTAATAAAAACATCTGAAGTAGACAAAACATGCATATAAATTGTAAACTCTTCCTTTCTCTACAACTCCATACAAATTGGTACTTTCGTCAATAAAACTTTTAAATATCCTTGAGTAGAGGTCTATTACTGTGAAAATGTTAAACAATGAATGTTATGATGAAAACATTTAAAAAGTAATCATTACCAGTAATATATAATTATGGGCTGAGTTGGAATAGGGACGAGTTGACCCGGGGGCCAATAGATAGATAGATAGATAGATAGATAGATAGATAGATAGATTTAGTTCGGCATAAAGGTAAACATGTTACATGATAAACTGTCACAATAGGGACTACGATGGGATACCAGGCCGACCACAATTGCTATCTAAAACAACCAACAACTCAGAACAGAAAATATATACAAATTTATTTACAAGAAACGAATATTTATAAATGAAAAATGATTATATATGAAAAATCACTGCGCAAACAAACACTATCAACGTATCTCAGTCTATTTCTCCCGTAAAGTTTCTGTCATGATGTTTCAATAAAGTGGTGGCGTTGTTGAACAAAATTCGTCACAATGGCGGGCGTCTTGTATAAAATCTTATCAAGCGTAACTGTACTTCCTACAGTGTTGGCACAGTTGATAGGATCCTGAACAAGGGCATGCGTCACCCTTTAGCCATGGACATACGTGTGGAGGGCCCGTGTCATCTTCGGGTGTGTCCTCAAATAAGAAGCTACAAAGTATAAAACATGGTAAGTTCCATGGTAATCAAACATAAGGGTATAATAAAGTCCCTTGGAAAAGACTCGACCTTTGTCGGTTTCCAATAAAATAACGTGCTTCTTTGAATAAACAAACTGTCCACTATAGTACACCATATATTCCGTGGAACAAAATTCAATCACATCCGCATAATACTGCGTTGCAAATATATTCAAATATACGCCACATAATAACCACCAATAAATAAACGTCTTCCAAAATCATGCCACTGAAGATCCTTCTCTAGAGATACGTTAGTTTTGATACGTTGTATTTACTTATAACAAAAACTGATGATAAATGAAATGAAGTAAGATGATAACGTAAATTAAATTGATTGAAACAAATCATTACGATACTGCAGCATTTTACATAAAGTTACACAAATACGGTAGAACCATAATAAATTATTTATGAATAGATATATATATATATCTATAAAATATTCATGGCTCCTATACAATTACAATATAATTAAAACTTCAATTAACATACATCAATTAACATGTCTCGGTATAAATTTGCAATAGCGAAACACTAGAATAAAAAGAGCTTTTAAAATTTAATCTGCAAAAATTTAGAAAATTTAGAAAACAATAAATTACTGCCAAGTAACTAAACCTGAATCAAATAAAACTATAATTCTAACAGAAAATAGTAGTTTACGAAATAGCAAAAATTGATGAAACAAAATCACTAGAAAATTAAATTTACCTTGTACAAGCTGTAATTTTATGACACATATAATTTGTCTGTCACCGTCATAGTGACCTGTATAACGTCCAGTGCATTGCAATATATCACTTAAAATTTAGTCATTGTATAGCAAACTACTGAGTACTTAGCGGGAAAACGGATCCTGCAAAACATGAAAAATCGATTTGCCCGAAATAAAGCTGGGACGGCGGGAAAAATAGTTATGTAAAATAAAGGCCCGTCCTTCATATACAGACTTAATACATATATCTGGTTCATAAAACAAAAATGTAACTTTCTTATTACTGAAAGGATTTTTGTGAAATAAACGGCAAGATGTTTAAATTGAGACATGGAAATTTATGCAAACCATAAAAATACTCTAAATAATAATTTCACCCGAAAACTCTAAATTGAACAAAAGATGATGCAATCTCACATCAATGAATATAGAGTAAAAATGAGGTTCGGCGTGAAAATATAATGCAAGATTTTACAAACGTACTTTCACTTTGTGACATAAACAAACACAATATAGATTAAAACAATTACAAATAAATAAATAAATAAATAAATAAATGAATAAATACTATATTATGTAAACCATGACATGTTCCCAAAACCAAGGATAACACAAAAAAGAGCAAGCTCTTATTTCCATTGTGGTCCTTAGCATTTGGTGGCATGACATAGAGAGGTATTTCATAAAGGAAAAAAAATATCACAAATTATAAGATAAATCACATTAATGAAGGATATCATTTAAAATCATCACAATTTAAGATGTAAGGTATTGTAAATAAAAAGTCATTATCACATTAAGAAATAAGTATGTGCATAGTAAGAAAGGATTACATTAAAATATCACAGTTGTTATGAGTATGTAAGGCAAGAACATGCCATAGATTACACTAATCAAAAAAAGATAAAGTTTTTAAAGTCTTAATAAAAAATTTAAAACAAATATCAAAAAATGAAACAGTAAACCTGAGCCGAAAAATAATTCACTAAAGTAATGAAAACATAAAATTTTCTTGCAAGAAATTTTAAGAAAGACACTTAGATGCTACTTAAAAAGTGACTTTTGATGGCTACCTTAAAACGATGAAATTTCTTAATTTCAGTTATGCAGGTTGGAAGACTGTTCCATAGTTTAGCACCAATAAAACTGAAAGACTTTGACCCGGAACCTTTAACCTTAGGAAGACAATACCCTCCTTTTTTTCTCAGTCTGGTGCAATAAGAATGCATAGATTCCTGAGAAACAAAATAATCACTTAAGTACCCTGGGGCCATTTGGTTTTTAACCTTAAAAACGTGACATAACATGATTTGTTCAACTCTTTTACAAACTGGTAACCAATTAAGGGATTTAGAATGGGAAGGGCCAATATGAACTCTGGAATCAAGGTTTAGAACAAATCTCATCATTTTATTTTGTGTTGTCTGTAATTTATTTTTCAAGACCTGAGTTAAACCATTTTACCAGACACAGCGGGCATAGTCAAAGTGGCACTGAATTAATGAATTGACAAGCAGTTTTTTGGTATGCTGTGTACGGAAATCTTTCTTACGGTAAAGGAACTTTAACCTGGCGTTAGCCTTCTGAATTACTGTGTCTGCCATGTAACCAAAGGACAGGTACTGATCAATAGTTACCCCAAGATATTTGATGGATGTGGATGCTTCTATTGCAGTGCCATTACAATTTATGTTTAATTTGGAATGTGACCTGAGTTTCTGTTTAGACCCAAACACAATGGACTCAGTTTTACCTAAGTGCAACGATAACTTATTATCAATTAACCATTGACTTACTGAGGACAAATCTTCAGATACAGAAATTTCCACCTCAGATAATTTTTTTCCAGAAACAAGTATTCCAGAGTCATCAGCATATAGCAATAGTCTATTTTTCACTTTACGTTTGTAGTATTTGTAATGAAACACTATGATCCCAATTTAAAATATATGTTAAAATGTTTTTCATTGTATCTACTGTTAAAGTCAATACATCGAGTTATCGTCGATATTTGTCCATCGATATATATTGATAAAAAATTGTCTATCAAAAACAGCCCTATCTATTTCTTAATCAAATTGTAATAAAAAAAATCAAATAACAGAAAAGAAAAGTGATAAAAAAATAAAAGATACAAGCAAAATATAATGCTTTGCTTTGTTTTTGCTTTAATTTAAAATTCTATTTTTATACAACACAAAAAAAAAGGGGGGAGGGTGGGAAATGTCCACAATCGCAACTACTCGGCCCTTTCCATCAGTCTTTGGATAAGGACCTCGAACACAATAGTATGAATACACAGAACGGATATGGTATTTCGGTTTAACCTACGGAAGAAACTAAACATGTAAACAAATAGTAATTTAATGCTGGGAGTTGTTGACAAGTTTATTTCCTATATATGTAGTAAAAGTCCACAGAATGTTACTTTCTAGTAATTTCTACAGGTACAATGTGTAGTTGAAATTTATGGAAATAAGTGATAAGGTTAAATGTCATATAAATATACAAATGTAAAAGAACTTAACATCATTACAAAAATTCCAGGACGAAAAAAATGAGGCCTGCATTCAACATTGTCTATTGTTATCTTAAATATTTTTTTCTGTCAATTCAGTGTTAACAGCCAGAGTTCCTGTACCAGAACCATAAATGAAATTAAAAAAAAATGGTCCGACCTTAAAATGGCTATTAAAAAATAGGAGAGAGAGCATCGGCTGTTTGCCACTAAGGCTGGAGGAGGGCCACCTCAAGCTAATCCAGACAGTTTGGAAGAAAAGGTAACCAAATAGCATGCATCTGAAACAAACCTGTCTTTATCCCAATTTCACTTGCAAAAAATAAGTTATATATTCTATGTGTTTTCAACTTGTGTCAAAAGTACATTAATTTTGTACATCATGTAAATTTATTTCTGAAAAATCCTAATTATTTTTCTTTATATTTTGTTTCAAGGGATAAATTGATTTAAAACAATTAAACTATGATTTACTTCAATCTTATGTGAACTTTTAGGTTCTACAGTTGATTGGAGAGATTACAGTTGCTGGTATTTCGGGTGTAGATACCTTCAGGGAAAACTGTAAGTAAATTTCAATCCAAAAACATGTGTTTCTTGAAGTACAAGTAATGATAAACATTTCAGAATTAGTTAATAATAATGATTTGTAAAAATAGGCAATTGTTTTTCCAATAAATTTATGTTGATCCAGAAAAAATGTAATTGATAACTGTTACAACAGACAAGTTTGCATCCAGATAGTTTAGTGGTAGAACAGCTGTTACTTTGTGACAGAAGGCCTGGGTTCAATTCCCAGTTTGGATTACTGTTTTGTTTTGTTGACAGTTTTCATTACTTTTTCCTTTGCTCAAGTTCTTAGTAGTATAGCAATTGAGCGTGTCTAGAACACCTTACCAAAAAAAAAAAAAAATATATATATGGGCACAGTCATGCGATTTGGGGTCTTAATGACATTTTTATCGATTTTGAGATTTTCACATCAAATTAAAGCTCATGAAATATGCTTTCCGTCGATATAATTCATATGCAAAAGAGATTATTATTTTTTTCAATATGACTTATTTCACAACGTCATGTTGAAACTTCTTGGCGTTGTTGTTGTCGTCGCTAAATTGACGTCAATGTTTCCCATTTATCACGTCATCGTTTCCCGCTTTTCTTGCATTAGGTTTGTTCAAATGATTATACTATTTTTTGGCGAGGGAAAAACATATTAGGCCCCATTAACTTGAAATAATGAATAAGTAAATGTTATTGTAGTGGTACATTTTATATGATGTTATTATCATGACCAAAATATATTTTTCTGAGTAACATATTTCGAAATGTTAATTTAATGGAGCTGTCTGTTAAAACATGAAACGGATATAAGAATCTTTGACACAAAAAAGAATTAAGTTTTATCAATCAATATTTTTTTATTTCTCTATTTTAAACATTTGCTTCAAATGTGTACACCGCAAAACTCGTCTCTGTACGCTGGCCTGACGTATGGACGTACGGAGTTGTTCAGGTAGGTTTGCCGCCGTTGACTAAAGCCCACTTGGTTGAATTGGTTCTGGTCTTACAGCCGCTTCAAAACGCGAAGACTGACGCTTTAAAATACAAAATCTTTTTCCTGATTTTGATTCATCAGATGAAATTCGCACGGGGTAACAATACCTGGTTCGTCTTGCGGGAAAACCCGGGAAAAGTCCTGATTTTTCCTAAAATTTTAAAAACCCTTAAAATTCATCTCTTTTCCCTTTAAGTTTTTCCACAATTTTTAATTTTTAATTTATAAAAGGGTAAAAACTTTTTAAAATTTCCATTTTTTTTTTTTATTTCATTTTTACAAAAACCTTATCCTAATTAATTTTTCCCTTATAAATAAAAATTTTTTTATTATTATTTCAAAACATAAATTACTAAAAACAATTTTTATTAAAAGGATATTTTTTATTAGATTATGATGATTTGAGGGGAGGGTTTTAAATGAGGGATGTTTATTTCATTATTATTAATTATTATTTTTTTTAAAAAGCAGTTTCTGAAATGTTCCCATCCTGTTTAACTCCCTTTTTCCTTTTTTCACGGTTTTAAAAAATTTTTTCCCTCTAAAAACCCCGACTTCCAATTTCTCCATGCCCAATGTGAAAACGGACAGCAACATTTGTTTTTGATGATTTGTTTACAACATTTTCAAGCTGTCCAAGCGTCTCTACATCTGTTCGTCTATATATTCGCTTAACGTGGCGAAGCCGGAATCTACTAAACACCGGGCGTGTCCTGTTTCAATATAACAAGGCTGAAAATTTTAGCATGCTAATGTAAAGTTATAAATTGCTGCACATTGTTTTCATACTAAAAAAATCTTTGCCAGGAAGAAACAACAATTTCTTGCATGTCATTTAGACACAAAGCATTTTGAGTAAAAACTAACAATGAATGTTTTAACATTCCGAAATACATAAACATATCAAGCAAAATGTCTGTTTTATATTTTCTGAAAGATTGCCTTAGCGGTATTATCGTGATGTCTCGATTAAGAGAAACATAGCACGTGTCTTTATTTATAAAAAAACCGCTTTCCGCAG